AAATAGAATTTTAATTGTATCACAACGCAATAATGAGTTTGCAAGAATGTGGTCGACACTCGTCTCGGTACGAAACACCTGATACGCGTGTTATGTAATGCACCATTCAGGATTGCGATTTAAAAAAACCGTCTAATGTAACGAAGTCGATTGACGTTGATTGAAATGATCTCTTTTTGTTTTGAAATCTCAAATAAAAAGTGGACCGATTTTTTCGACATTTTAAAACAACATTTGTCGTCGAGAGTGTTACAACAGCGCTATTTTGGAATCGCATGGTCTAAAAGTTTTTTTTTTTTTTTATTGAATCCTTAACAGTAGAACTGCGATTTCTCATTGTTTTAAAATCTTGATTATTCTTTATTCATAGTCATATTTTACAGTTGCAAAATTCAATCATTTGCTTCTGATGTAAAAAGGAAGCTAATCACTGAATTTTAGCTCACTTGGATAAAAATTATGCAATCTAGTATCGACACTTGATTATGCACATAAGTATATTACATAATAAGTATCCATAACATCCTCACATTGGATTAGACATTTTTTTTACCATTTAATTCGAACATTTTTAGTTAGAGAATCGTTTCTATAGTGAGGAAAAAAAATCGATGTTTGGCTTACCAACTCAAAAGCACTCTTTGGATACCATTTGCATGGCCGCAAGAATCTCTGGAGGAACTCCCTCGAGGTAGGTACGTAGAAGTTGGGTTCAGCTGTAAAACAAGGCGATTTCATTAAGAATTAGCCTGAAACTTTACTAGGAAGAATCATTTTATTTTTTATCCGTTAACTTGTATTTGATTACGACAGTTTAATGATCACCGTTGAATCGTAAAATAAACAAACAGTGCCATTATGTGACTATTTACGCTGCATGTTTTTTTATCAACGGTATAAAGTTTCATCGCACTATATGGTTATATGATTTCATTGAATTTGAAAGTGTAGAGTTTCAAATCACTGTTGTATAACGAGCTTGTGCCATGTTATTAATTTTAAACGTAAATACACTGGAGGAGTTGAAAATAATAGATTCATTATACCATGGATATTGCCAGCTAGTTTGTTCAATCGATGTAATACTAAAAGAGAAAACACGTGTATCGAAGAACAATGTCGTTGTGATACATAGCAATTTTTACTAAAAATTTGAAAAAATTACAATGCACATGCTAAATAGTAAAATATTGTATTATATGCAAAAAAGTTTCGGAAGAACTATTTATACATTTTTCCAACTTGCTTAATTATTTCCAGTATATGATGATAGGAGATACTATTTCGAATGAAATTAATGTATTTATAATGCAATTCGTTCAAGCTATAATCAGAGACTAAAATAGCATTCATCGGAGGATGCAAATGAAAATTATTTTTAGTGCGTGATTAAGACGTATCTTGTACAGGAAAAATGCTGATAATCATTATAAATTAAACAGATGATTCATAAATTCCGTTATATTTTATTGTTGAGTTACAATGACATACAAGTAACCGACAACATAGTAAAAATACAGATAAGGATATTCGTGCATGCAAATGTGTCGTACGCTTAAGCTGAAATGGAATAAAAATAAATATGATGTAGTTTTGACTTTTTTATTTTTAATGTAACTTCTTATGCTCATGTATATCGTATACACACACACAACATAAATCGTACTCAACGTGCTAAATTTCAAATAAAAAATTTTTTTTTCAATGAAATACAATACAGTTGCTGATCATTTTGGCTCAATTTTTAAGATGAATAATGCACCAGAGATTAAAAAACTTCTCGTGTATACCAACGCTGCAAGTAAAATGCNTTTGAGAAAAAAAAAAAAAAAAAAAAAAAAAATTGTCAGTGTTTTTTTGAAAAAAAAAAAAAAAAAAAAAAAAAAAAAAAAAAAAAAAAAAAAAACATGTAATCAATCACGCATTGATCCTGGAACCCGAATAGCCGCAGATATTTTTACTTCCTTTCGTTCGTCATATAAATACATATAAAGCGATCTTACGCAATGACCGCATAGCCGTGATTTTTTCTGAAATCGAGTTTAGGCGTATACTATTAACACGCCTCTAATAAAGCACTCAAATCCGAGTACATGTTAGCCCGACTTACAGGAACTGCCTTGCGTCATACCTGGATGCGTTAATCTGTTTCTTTGAAATTTCCTGGCTCGTAAAACTTGGCATGAATAATAAAGGACGGTGTCAAAAAACCGGCAGATCGCAATGCTTCAACTTAGTTAGTGTAGTAATTTGTTATAAGTTGAAAAAAAAAATCCAACCCTCCCCAACCGTACTCGTTCTCGAGTGCTTTTCCACGATTTTCTCTAAAAAATTACGTAAGCCGAAATGAAACGGTACATCGTAAAAGGATTACCCAAATTTTTCATTGCGCAACGTATGAGTGTATACGCCACACGCAATCCACAAAGTCGAAAGAAACGATTATTACCACCGCAATGAAACCCCGTGGTGTAAACGTGTACGCGGCTGTGGTAAAATTTCACTTTCGACGGCTGCAGCCTGTGGCTCGCTAATACCTCGTACAGTTGATTTTTCCCGTCACAAGCGGGTATATACACAAAAAAGCAGATGCAGGTCCCCCCCCCCACCCCATAGGCGCGTTAGAGAAATCGAGAGAGAAAACAGTCGTGCGGCAGATGACTCTTTGGAGATACCGCGAGGTTGAATAATTCGCGGCGATTCAACTCTTGTTTTCGTGTGTATATATATACCTACGCTCGGAGAAAGTTAAGTTTAAGTACATTTATACATACGTACAATTGTCCCTCTCTATCGCTGCTGTCAGTCGGCGGGCGTTGCGCAATTCATTGTATTTAAATTCTCGAAACAATTTCAGTCGCGCGCGATTAGCGAACTAATAGTTTCGAATGATAAGCTGGAACCTTTTTTTGTTTGAATATTCAAACGTCATTTGAACAAAACAAAAAAAAAACAATACGAGACGCGACCTTCCTCCTCTTCTCGGTGTCCGTCAGGCGGCTCGGGCACAAAAAATTGATTTGAAATTTGATTCCAGCATGCGAATGTCAAAATATTCCGAGAGACGGAAAGAAAACTGGTTCGTGGGTCGTAAACTTTTATACGCAAGCGGCCACATGGAAGTGCACTTTGGCACGCGATTATTCGGATGATAAACGGTCGTTGAAAAGTGCCATTAAACTACCACTGGTTTGTCCGTTTGTTTTCCCTCAAATCCTTTGAAGCTCTTGAAAAAAAAAAAAAAAAAAAAAAAAATTGCTACCTTCGATAAGTTCTCGGAGCATTTGAAGGGCCGGTTCGACGTTCTCGGGAGTCTCGCGGAGCTCCTTCGCGGCCCTGTCCAAGAAGTCCTTGTCCAGAGGCTCCACCTCGAACTTGAACTCGATGGTGCCGATCATTAGTTTTGGCAGCCGCTTCACTTTGTCGTTCAGCGTCAGTTCCTTCGTGGCTTGCGTCAACACTTCCTGCGCCATCGTCGACATTTTTCCCCCTTTTTTCTTCGCCTATGCGCGTACACGATAATGCACTTCCTGTACGGTCCTGCGTGTGGGCGATGAAACAAAAAAGTTTATGATTGATGTTTTTTTGGTTCCGTGCCTCGAGTGATTTTTTTGTTGTTTTTTTTTTCATACGCAATAGGATGTGGGTCGGGAAAGTTGGGATGGTGAAACACAGGATTCTCGGCTCTTTGGTGGATCGCGCGAGTTGTTTTGTAACGTCGGCAGGGCCGGAGATCTGGAAACGCCGTTTCGATCTTCGTTCAAACGCGCTGATTTTTAACTATACATGCTTTCACTTACAGTTGGGCCACCGACATGGGGAGTTTGTAAGGTATGGGACGCGATTCTAAATACTCACGTACGGACTATTTCGTTCGTATACGCACAAGCTAACGAGTGTCAACGACCCGAGGGACCACTCGCGTATTTCGAATGATAATTTAAGTACGCCGTATACGTTTAAAAGCTAAAAAGAGTGTATAGCTTGACCTTTACTCCGCTATAACCCCTTTTTCGTTGAGGTTCGAGCAGAAAAAGTGATACTGTTTTTTTTTTTTCATCAATTAGTTTTGTTAGTTTTATTTTCTTTAGTTCGCGTAATTTACAAACGAGCAGTAATTAGCACACTCGTGAACGCGAGACGAATACATGGAACTCCAGCGTGTCTTGTGGGAAAAAAAAAAAGAAAAGTAAAATTCCACGTAAGGAGTACCGCATGGAATAGAGTGACCTCGTCAATTAATGAGACAAACCAGCTCTACCTCTTTATTAGCATTATTGTAGTAAGAGTTTGATGTATTTTGATCTAGTCGAGTGGACGTTTAAGCCGAGATCGTTTGAATAATTGAAAGAACGACCTTTGACTTGGAAAGTCGTGACTATTTTTTTTTTTTTTTTTTTTTTTATGGCATCAGAACAAATTACGCTCGTTTTCTGAGAGGATCGGTATGGAGCTACAATTTCCAGTCTTTCAGCTCCACTTTGGTTTTATCAATGAAGCAATAAAATTACACTTGATCCAATTGAGGAATCATGCAACAATGATCACGAGATAATGGAAACAATCGTCGTAGCACACGTACATGTATTTTCCTCAATTAAACGCCATCAACCGATCGGGCAGTTTATCTACATGTGGATCGATAGAAAAAATCAATGTTTTCAAAGGAAATGTATTTTTACGTTTGAATGGATTTGTAAAAAATTTGAAACTCGCGATTGCTACCGATCACCTTTGATACAACTAAAAAAATATCCAATTTTTACCGATCACACTCTATACTGTATACGATTCACCGGGCCAAACAAAAAATAACCAAGTAGACGCAACTTTTCATCCCACAAGCCGTCTATTCGATTCTCCGATTTTACGTATCACATTTACTTGATTCATTTGTAAAAGATCGGTAAGACCGAAGGAAAAAAACTTGACTGAAACAATCCTTTGTTACACTTTACTTGCATGCAGGTACTTGATACAATTATCATCCAACGCAATCGATGATGTTCATCCAAGAGAACAACATAAATTGATCCGTCGAACCGATTCACTGCCGTAACGAGCAAAAATTGCAACGCGAGTACGTAAGTACAAACAACCGTAGGACGCTCCGGAGCAAACGAGCGGATTCCCCATAGCCGTCAAGAGTGGAAGGGCAACGACACGAAGAAGCAGCAAAGAGAGGAGGCCATAATGCGGTGAGGGGGCCCAGGAATGCAAGAATCAGCAGCCCAAGGGCCTCACGTTACAAAGCAGCGCAGTATAGATCAAGAGGGAGAATATAATATGTATCAAACAGAGGATGTGGGTATAGGTAAGGGGGACCCACCGGTGCCTCGTCGACGAGCTCGCGCGAAGGACTGCTTCTCCGTCGCTGCTCCGGTACCAATATACGGCTGCCACGGGCCCCCCCTCCGCGCTCTCCTCCCTCGCCAGCTGACCCGACCGGCCACTTCTTTTTCTCTCGTCCCTTTTTTTACCATACGCATTCTCGGCGTTCTAGACACTACACGTATCATGCGAGCGCGTCTTTTTTTTTTTTTTTTTTTTAATTGCACACTGAAACAAACACTCGTTTGAATCAAGATAATATTTATATATATATATCTATGTATTTACCAAAAATATTCTCTTTGCGTACATTCTCGTTTGAAATAAACATTTTTCCCAAAGGGGGAATATGTGCAATGTCTCGTTTCAAGAGATTCACTTGGAACAATTTTATAATTGATATATTTCCTTGATTCTAAGAAACTCTTTTTGAAAGGTGATTTTTTTTTTTTTTTTTTTTTTAATTAAATCAATGATTGTTTAACAGTAACGGGCATGGTTGGCATTAAAAAAAAAAATAAAAAAAAATAAAAAATATAGTTATTCGTTGCGTAGCCCGTGCACCTACTCTACAGATTTTTCACCGTCTCATCGAGCTCGCGGGCAAATGTTGCACTCTTCATTCGTTTTAATGGCACAACCGCGGGGGCAATTAAGTACGGCAGAGTTTCTCGACGATTCTTGATGTCAAAAGCGAGGCCCGGGCCCTCATTTGAAATTACAAAGCCCCGCCATCCATGTTTATGCAAACCCCGTTTAAAGTATACGTATAAATTGCAGCCCCTCCCCCCTACCCTGGTTACATAAGGTGTACAGTTTACGCGTGTGCTACGAGTGTACGTGTGCTTTCTTTTATTGTACGCATAGGCAATGCCGTTTTTGAAATTGCTTGCTAAATTTGGTTGTTTGACCAAGCAATTAGAATATGTGTTTATCGATTACTCTAACTTGCGCGTGTTTTTCTTTCTTCTCCTTTGAAATCCGAGAAATTTTACCAGAGAGAGAGAGAGAGACTTTCTAATTGACGGTGTTCCGAGTAAAATCTTCCTGAAGATGATTAGCAGTTTTTTTTCTTCTTTCTTTTTTTTTTTTTCCCGAAGAATTTCGTTGGCGCGAAAAAAAAGTACGCATCCGTACGACAAGTAGGTATATACTTTGGAATAATCGAGGCTATTTTGTAGTTTCAACCACGTTAAATTAAACTTCTATTAAAACGTTAACAAGCATATACTTATATGTGTATACATAAGACCGATAACATAACATAAAATAACATAAATATACAATCAACAACGCTGTACGTATAACAAATTACATTGATTTAGTTGACGATGTAACGACACATTGAATCAAAGTGCAGCTCTCAAGTTGTTTCGGGTGGACACTGGCGTTATCGTTGGGCCAAAATCTCTCTATTCCGCCTTTTTGTACCCGTACTTGTTCATTTCTGCAACACAACAAAAATACATGACTACTAGTAAAACACACATGATATATTCGACGCCCGAGTGGCAATAAAAAATAGTGTATATATGTATAGTTTGGAAGATTGTTTTTCCTGATGAAAATAAAGAAAAGCCATCACATGTACGTTGCCGCGACGTACGCGCAGTCACGGAAGCGCGTCGTGCAACTCCTCTTTCCTTTCTCCCGTCTCAACGAGTCAAAAATACTGTATGCATAATAATGTGAGCACTCGACCTTCCACCGCAAGTATAGGACATACGTACTTTCGTTTTTTTTTTTTTTTTTCCATCCCGAGCTGTCAAATACGCGGCGGTTGGACCATTAGCGAGCGAAGCGATTGTCTTTTTCTCCTCCCCGCGGGAATTTTCGTGTCGTTGCGCAAACTCTCAGGTATACACGAACCTCGCGCCTTCGGCTACACCCATTTGTTTGTTACGCACTGGATCGATTTACGTAAGCCGTCGATGATCGATTAGGCACCGTCAATTGTTGTTGTCCGTACCCATCAGTCAGTGACGTTAGGTTGTGAGTTGTTGATCAACCGAAAACTTTGACATTTGCGCGTTGCGTGTATATACGCGCGCGAGGCCGGTTCGTTAATTGCACAACGCGCGGCCCTAGGGCTATAGTCGAATTCGGCCTTTTTTTTTTTCTTACACGCAATGGTCGACCTGCAACAGGATCGACGCTCTTTCATGTTATTCGATATCTGTTGATATGCGTATATATGTGTATAATAAAAAAAAAAAAAAGCGCGAGCAACGCGTGGCTGTATAAATCTCGTGAAATCGGGGGCAAAGGTCGCGCGTGTGAAAAGTATCATAATTGTCTTTCGTAACGTCACTACTGTATCGGTAACGTTTGTTTTTTCTTCATTTCTCGAGCGTTTCGCTGATTAGACGCGGCTGATGACGCTCGCCGATTAATCTCGGTTCAGCATCGATCGACCTCGCTGCGATTGGCCGGCAGTGACTTCGAATGGCGATGCGTGCGGTGTAGCTTCCATTTGGTTGGCTCACCTCTTATGTGGTCCTCGTACTTGATGATTGTCGGGTACCAATCGGCGCTCGTGTAGTCGATCTCGGGAAGCTGGCCGCCGTAATTTTTGGGCAAGTGCGAGGGGACCATGTGGGCGTGCAGCGACTTCATCTTCGTGCCGTGGAAGTACATGCGGCTCTTGAGCTTTTCCTTCACGAACGGCTTGAACATCTGCCACACCATGTTGAAGAGGAACGGCTGGTTCACGTAGTGCACCTGAAATTACCGATTTTTTTTTTTTTTTTTTTTTTGTTTTTTTTTTTTAACGTTTATCTCTTACATACGTTGTACGGTACAAGAGGTTGAGCTGCGTACCTCCTTGAGACGGAGGGGCATGGCTTCCTGGATGAAACTGAGAAGCCTCATGCTGAAGGACGGGGTCAGTGCCAGGACTTGCTTCATGGAGAGACCGTCAAAGTCCATTATGACGACGACGCCGTGCACCTGATGAAAAAATCGGCTTTATTTTTTTTCCCCCGTACCAAACGATATACCGGCTGTCAGTCACCGATCGGGGGGCTTTTGTTTTAAAAATACCGTCAAACTCGAATCGACGGGTTTTATCTTATCGCGGTGATTTAGCAGTCCTTTTGCGCTCGTTATCCGAGGGTAAAAAATAATTGTTGATCGAAGTAGTCTATATATACGAAACGTAGGTACACCTGAGTCTCGGGCTCGAGCACCGCGGCCTCGTGGACCATGTAGAAGAGCCGAAACATCTGGTCGGCGCTGATCTTGGACGGGTCCCACTTGCCACCCGCGTTGACTATCATGACCCGCCTGCGCTTGTGGTCCCGGTGTTTCAGGACGTTTATCACGTTGTGCTCCATGAAGGCGTACTTCTCGTCCGAGGGTGTTATGTTGTCGAGGAGGGCTGCATGTTTTTGCTTGAAATCGGCGATCCGCCTCATGAGGGCGAGCGCGCTCTCCGGGTAGTACTTGCACGGGCGCAGGAAGATCTTGAGGAAGTCGTCGTCGTCCGTTTTGAAGTTTAAGGTTTTCTCGGCTGCAACAAGGGGGTAAATGAGTTACGTTTTTTTTTTTTTTTTTTTCTTTTTTTTTGTTCGTAGCATCGGTGTGTAATTTTGTCGAGTGATCGAATCGGCGATACCGATTTTGGTTATCTGTTGATCCTAATTGATACAATTATCGCGATTACATGGAGCATTTTTCGTTGCTTATTAATACTTTTCGTAAGATCAAGCTGACGATTAAATTTTACACGACTAGTGGTAGCCTGTTTAATTAGTAGATTGTTTTTTTTTTTTTTTTAATTTGTCGGCTAATTGTATCTAAATTAACAAATAACGCGATGGAAAAAGATCACAATTTTTTATCTTTTGCAAACAAGTCGGTCAATTTGTTCGACTGATTGAGTGATACAAAAACATCTTGTGTGCTCATTTAAATGACAATGCTCGATCGAACAAAAGTAAGAAAAAAGTATACAATTATCAATATTTTTGTTTTTACATGAACAATAGAAACGAACGTTGAAAGAAAAAAAATTATAAAGCTAATAACAGATAGGCTCGTCAATGTTTATAATAATAATAAATTGAAATAATTAAACGATAAGATAAAAATGATGCAAATGTATGAACAATGAAAATTCGCGAAAAGTTGACGTGAACAGATGAAATCATGATGATTACGTACAAATCCTCGGCTATCTTTTAACGATAACATATTTTTCGCATGCGAGCAATCAAATTTTACTATACTCGGATTTTTATTTTTGCATGATCCAAAGTACCGTACACGTGATTTTTTTTTTCTCATATTCGAATCACTTCTCATTATTTGACAGAAAAAGATTTCCTGGTCTAACGATGTTCCTCCTGAACCAGCTACCTTTACGAGGAATTGCCATTTTTTATGCGAATAAGTAGTGGATGCACACATTTGATGAATAAATTGAGAAAAAAACAAGTATGGCAATAACCAAATGAGCCCCATGTATATTGCTCTCTTTTAGTATTCGTTGTCAAATTTGGTTTTTTTTGTTTTTTCTTCTCCAAACAATAACAATTTTACTCATTTTTCTTTCTTCGAACGTACACCTCTTGTCACGTGCGGCTAAAGAAATCGTGTTTTTCCATTACTTTTTATCTCTTTGTATGCGCGCTCATGCAACTTTTTCAATGAACGAATGATTAACATTGTTTCTTATTGTTGATTTGCGACGAATCCGTCGACCCGCTTTTGCTCTTCTTTGTTCCTTCGATCTATACACTACAAGTGTGTGGTTTGAGAAAAAAAAAAAAAAAAAAAAAAAAAGTTGTCAGTGTTTACTATTATGCGTATGTCTTGCAGCCGTGTCAAGTAGATGAATGACTCTGGTAAATCATTCGAAACAATGAATAAAATTATCGTGATTTTTCAAGGATTACATGCTCAAAATTTTAAGACCACCAACATATATATATGTAATACAGTTTAAAAACGCATTACCATTTGGTTGAAAAGCACATTGCTAGAGCGTGTGTATCTGACGAGGGAAGTATCAATAAATCTTATTTTGAAGAAGAAAAACGTCTAAATTTACGTTTACATGATGACTTTTTGCAGTGGCAGGAGAGTGAGTTATTTGCAGGTAAGTGCGTCACTTGAATTAACAATAACCCAATCTAAGGAGTAAACGAGGACGCGAACAACAGTGGGCGCATGGTAACAGCAATACATGAAATTAGAATAAACGAGCGAGAAAGTGAAAATCGTTGATAACAACAGTAAATGCGTGTATCATGTGTATGGAGTCGTTCGAGCAAAAGAGGCTGGGAGAAAGAGTCACAATAATTATCTCTTGCACTGACCTAAGGGCACTTTTGCATATCAATTTATATGCCTATTATTATTATTGTTGTTGTTGTTTCTGATATTCAAATCTTGGCGAAGATCGTGGGTGAGTGGCCGATAACGCAAACTTTGCGGCTAAAAGACCGAGTGTATGTGTACGTAGCTATACATTTGGATGTACTGTTCTTTTCCATCGTTTTTAGCATGAATAACAATTATTTTTCATTCTTGAATTAACGAGGAAATACTTATGTTGGGATCGATCTTCCCATTACCGAATAAGTTGATCACTCGATTCAATTAATCAACTAGATTGTTGTTTGTTTTAATCAACAACACGCTGTAACCTAATGACACAAATGTGTTAAGGTACGACCGACGCAGATATTGCCGAAAAAAAAAAACAAATAAAAATAAACACCGCATACCGAGGATTGGATTCATTTAGCTTTGTGAAAAAATCAAGTGCCTGTAGTGTACACCACCCGCACTAAATGCACACATTCGATTGAGAAACCAAAAAAAAAAAAGAAAGAAAGAAATTCCCACCAACCTTCGAGCAGCTGTCTGAGCTTCTGGAGGCCTTCCCTGACGTTTGCTTCGGTCTCCCTGAGCTCCTTCACCGCGAGGGCCTTGGTCTCCTCGTCGAGGGGCCCGGTCTGCAGTTCAAAGTCCCCCGACATGGCCAACCTCGGGAACCAACGGTCGCAAAGAAAAGAAAGAAAGAAAGAAAAAAAATCCAAAAACCGCGCGGGCCCGGCGTATCGATACGAAAATTCGATAGTCCTCACGGTTCGAGCGCCACCGGTGCTTCTGGTGCCGATCTCGGCGACTCCCCGGCTCTTCCTTCACCGGCCCGAGCCCCGCCTCCTCCGCGAACGGCAGCCGACTCCGTCATCTCCGACGGGCTGCCGATTACATTCGCCAGGGAAGCGTCCAGCTCCCGATCTCCCAAAACCCGGCCGAGCGAGCGAGACGGACAGATCGGTATACGAGGGGCCCCCGCGTGCGCGTGCTCGAGAAATAAAAAAAAAAGATACGTGCGCCCACTTACACCAAAGCACATATAATGTAAGCGCGGTGATGTTGTTGTACACGTACGCGCGCGTGCATGACTCGTCGTTGTCTTATCCGGGGACTGGTCGTGGCAGATAAAGACGACGGCCCCTTCGCTGATAACGACTGAGAGCGCGAACCGATCTCTCTCTTTTTTTTTTTTTTTTTTTTTTTCATTGTTTTTTTCTTTTCTTTTTTTTGGGGGGCAAACTATCGGATGCTGTTGGAGGGAGCGTGTGTGTCTTTTTAGGGGCACTTGTCGCGAGTTTTGCATTACAATGTGTGTGGCCGGTTAGAGTGTTTTTCGGGGGATCTTGAGACTCGGCCGTGAGCTCACTGTTTTTGGGACTTCTAGTAAATCTTTGTAGTTTTTTTTTTTTTTTTTCACTGGAAATTCGTCATGAATGGCTAATTTTTATAAGATCGATATGTGCTTCAAGCTGAAGTTGTATAATCGATTTTAATTACGGGTGATTTGGCCGACGATGAAAAATTACTTTGTGTACTTGGTATAATATTAATACGGCTGCTGATGTACGAGTGCCAAATCAGTCATACATCTAGATCTGCTTTTTATTTGCATCAATTTTTAGGTAATTTTTTTTTTTTTTTTTTAATCGTCCGACTGAATACGCACGAGTAAATGGGACAATAAAAACAAGGTAAATATATCCACTGGCTGTGTACTCGAGTCGCNTGTACTTGGTATAATATTAATACGGCTGCTGATGTACGAGTGCCAAATCAGTCATACATCTAGATCTGCTTTTTATTTGCATCAATTTTTAGGTATTTTTTTTTTTTTTTTTTTTTTCATACATGATTTACCGATTTACCGAAAATTTTCTTGCTTTTGATTCCGATAAGGCTAAATAATGTTGTCGAATACGATCGTAATCGCGATGATTTTATTTTTATTTTTTACGTGGATCGAGCATTTTCGTTTGTATTTATTTTTACAATCGTCATATTTATTCAATCTAATTGCATGTATAAAAAAATATTGAAACGATTTGGATTTAAAAAAAAAAAATGAGTATCATTAGGTTGATTACTTTTTTTATTACAAACAGATGTGCACTAAAAATGAATGCAATAACTGCTCCGTGTATGTTGTTGCTCAAAACAGGAAGAAATAATATAATTTTACAGCAAATTTCCTAAAACTTGTAGATCTGAAAAAATTACATTTTTTCGTAACTATACCTGTCTCTACACAAAGTCAGACAACTCGCATAACATGACGAAAAATATTTTTTTTCAACTGATTTTTTTTTTCCGAAGTGACAATATTTGAATGGAGTTGTGTGAAAATGACTTTTAAATTATTTTACTTTATTATTTATCATTTCAGAATAAATTGTTAAGTATAAAATTTGTATACTGAAAAAAGTAGTATAGAAAATAAATGTATTGTGATCCCACTTTTTACTATCGTACCGTATGCAAAAACATAATCTTTTTCATAAATTTAGCTTCTTTTTTTTCTTTATCAGAATAAATCTTTGACGTCTCTTTCCAGACACTTGATGTTAGACAGAAAACACTCAATGTTTCCTTTAAATGTTCACAAAAAAAAAACGAATGATAATTTGTAAAACATTTGTGAAATGTAGTATTCAATAGTAATAACGTACGAGTATAAGAAATTATATGCACATTAATAGTAAATAAAAAATAGTATAAGTTGTCGAGAATAATTTGACAATATTTTACCATATTATTTAATCGCGGAAAACAAAAATAGCATAAAATTAATTAATGACGTGTTCTCGTCACTGCATCATCTATTTGTTTTGACTACTACTTGAAGATGTAAACATTGCTTTTGCTCCGTATACCGACTCAAGCGTCGATTGTATCTTTGATTCGATACAGAAAATCGGTAAAGAAATAGTTTCTGAAAATTCATTTGAAAAATGTAGGTGCAACAAAAACGAAGACGTTTTAGTGTCGCGTAATTGTTCCCCGCGTCGAAGAAATCGGTAAAAAAAACTTGACAACTACCGATCAAGCATCAAAAACATGCACCGACGTACATTGTTGTTGGTCGAGGGTTTGAAGGAAAAATAACGCAAACTCAAGTGATACAGATTGACCTCGGTCTTTATTTGCTCGGGCGCAGAGTACACAACCAAGCACGGTCCAGCACAACAACCAGCTGAATCTGCAATCTCATTTTTCAAATTGTATTTTTTTTTTTTTTTTCCTTTTTTGCATACCACAAAGACAATATTCTTTATTATTTATTCGCGATAAAGCATGGATTTGCGTTTTGAGGCGCGATCGCAAAACCGTTACGAAACACATGGAACAAACCGCGACAAACTAACGTAATAAGAACGAAAAATCACGAGATCGTCGCCCATGCATGATGTTCCCGACGCGCCTCAACGCCCATCCACCTTCATCAAGGACAACACACACATAAATATAATTTAATCAACTAATCAACATGATTTTTCCCTCGAGGAGTGACAACAAAGAATAACAAAGAAACAAGGAATAAAGTGCACCGAAGCCCTACTCTTCGTCGGCGAGTGGTCCGGAATACGGTGTGCACCTGTGCCAGTAGCTGCTACGTGGGACGTAGTCGTGCTTGTAGTCGCAGCGCTGGTAATGGGGGTCCCAGACCAAGGTCTCGGGGCAGTGCATGAGGTAGGGCTCGCCGTGGGAGCACTGGTAGAAAACGGTGTCGTCGTTGGGATCGGGCAAGTAGCCGAAGGACGTTTTGCAGACAATGGGCCCGCTGCCGGTGGAGGGCGCCGATGGCTTGTGGGCCGGCTCTTGGGGTCCAACGGGCGCACTGGGCTTGGGTCGGGGCTTGACGCTTGGTTGGCTCGGTGGTCTAGGCATGGGTGGACGCGAGGGCGGCCTCTCGGCCGGTCCCGAGCCCACGGTGCCGTGCACTGCTCTGTTGACCGCGCGCAGGAGGGGCCATTTTTCCCCGCACACGCCGCGGAAGTCGTCCGTCTCCACGCTCCAGACCATCATGCCCCCGAGGCCGTACTTGTTCATGTACTCGCCCTTCGCCACGTACACACGTAATAGACTCCCATCCGTATATACACTCTACTCCCGGTGAACGAACGCTGGGAGGGAAAAAAAAAAAAAAAAAAAAAAGAAAGGGAGTCACGATTACCATTCGTCGTCGTAGCTGATCCACTGGTCGCCGTTGTAGGCGTAGGGCACGCGTTGCTCCTCGTCAAACACGACGGTCCACTTGTCCATGTGCTCGCATATCTCGTTGTAGCCCAAGGTGCCCTTTTGCCGAGTGTAGGGCCCAGCGTGCGAGCCACCGCGGGACAAGGCGTTCAACCCGTTGTTGGCCGGGTTGGCCAGGGTGAAGCCTCGAGCGTAAAACGGTATACCGAGGATGAGCTTTTCCGGGGCGGCGCCGTGGCTCAGCCAGTACTGGATCGACGCGTGCTTCGTTCGAGAGGGACGACACGTTTATACATATATATATATACAAGGTGTTACGTAAACAAAACATTATGATTGGCGGTGCAACTCACGATGTTGAGGACTCGGGCGCTCTCCTTGCTCTCCCAGGAGGCGGAGTACAGGGGCGAGTTGTGCCCGGTGTTTTTCTCCCAGGTGCCGTGGAAGTCGTACTCCATGAGGTTGATAAAGTCCAGGTACTTGGAGAGCTCGGCCACGTGGTACGACATCTCGGCTTTTTCGGAGCTCGCGGACACGGCCGCCCCGAGGACGAGGCCCTTGGGCTCGAGGGCCTCCTTGAGCTCCCTGAGGAAGAGCACGAGGTTGTCCTTGTCCATGGGGGCGCCTCCGGGCCGCGACAACCCGGGGTACTCCCAGTCGAGGTCGAACCCGTCAAAGTCGTACTCCTCGAGGAAGTTGAGGATGTTGCGGACCAAGTTGCTCCTGAGGGCCGAGCTGGCCATCACCCGGGAGTACTTGGCGTTGGCCTCGCCCTCGTTCCACCCGCCCAGGCCGATCATCGTCTTGAGCCCGGGGTTGCGGAGCCGTAGGTCGTTGAACCTGCGGAAGCCGTCCTTGCCGCCGTCGTTGGGCAAGTCGGCCCAAGGGTCGAGTATGCGGACCGAGCCGTCCTCGTTCAGTCCCACGAACGTGTACACCAGGTGGGTGCACAGGTGCGGGTCGATCTTGTCGATGTCGAACTTGCCCCTGCCCGGCCGATACACGGCCCAGCTACCAAAGTAGCACACGACTTTTCCTGAAACGATTTTTTTTTTTTTTTTTTTTTTTTTTTCATCGAGTATACCCCTTATCTTTGATCATGTATACAATGTGCAAGAAACTTACTGTCGCTGGAGGCTGAGGCGAGTGCCAGCAGCCCCGCGAGGGCTAAGATTACTGCGCGCATCTGCAAAACAACAATTCACGCAGTTTGTACGTTTGTGGAATTTTAAACGAGTTTTTTTATATATTTGGGTGTGCCCTTGGTAGGAAAAATGGGATTTGCCACGTAAGGGCCTATATACGTCCCTGGGGCCGCAAAGCAGCCCCGGAGGCGCTTACATGTGGCGAAAACTATAAATACCATTTTTTTTTCAAATGAAAATTGTGATAATGTGATTTTGAAGGAGAAGAACAAGAAGAGACTTACCGTGATGTGACTCTCGAGACAATGGACCCCAAAGTTGGTACTTTGCTTTGATCGGAGTACCTTTGCGGTCTGATGATGGGACGTGCGAAATTTTTCGTTTATATACTATTATCGTTAACGCGTTACATAAAAAGGGAAATCGCGCGTTTAATTGTATTGACATTTGTTGTAATGAATCGGCTAAATCAACATCATCTTTCTTTTTTCTTTTTGTTCGCATTGCCCAGATTTGGTTCAATATTTGACTTACTTGGCCAACAACCGCGTTTGATGTTTGTGTCCCATATTATCGCCGATTGAAGCGCGCGTTCGTTGTATACGCGTATACGCCTTGATGTTTTAATTTCAATTTTGATTTGCGTTGGAAGGAATTTCGCTAATTTTTTTTTTTTTTTTTTTAATCGTCCGACTGAATACGCACGAGTAAATGGGACAATAAAAACAAGGTAAATATATCCACTGGCTGTGTACTCGAGTCGCTGCGTTCGATCGTAAATTTTTTCGCTAACTTTTGCCAGCACTTGCTACTCTAAATTGTTGTGATTTCCATAATTTGCAATGTATTAAAATTAGGTTCAATAGACAATCAGAGAGGAAATTTTTACTCGTTCAATCTTCGGGTGTAGTTTGAGCTCTTTGAATAAAAAGTTTTTCTAATAGAGCGAAATGGTAAATAAAAATGATTATACATTTTTTTTTTTTTTTTTTTTTTATAGTACCTATTATAAACAACTCATGGCATGTGTTTTTTTTTTTTTTTTTTTTTTTTTTTTGTACAAATTGCATAAACGGTTCCAAGCGCGTATTTTTCCATCATCAATTACTAATTATAAACATACGCACAGTGGCGCGAAATTACAGATCATGTGAATTTCCGATTTTGTTGATTGAGGTTGTTAATCTTTGCACAGCAAATGTGCGTGACATAACATCGATCGTCAAATAAAAAATAAGTGCGAAGCTTTTGTGTGTTTAAGCGATAAAATTTGCGAGCATTTAATCGAGAAAACGATTTGTTTCTCAAGGACAACTTCAACTTTCGGAGCTTAATGCAAGATAAGCTCGTCAGTTCTAAGCATCAAGGGGTACTTTACGGCGGCCCAAAAATTACAATTTTTTTCTTTCTTTTTCCGATGCTATTAATACTTTCATTTTATCACCACACAAACAAAGATATCTTGATGTGTTACATTGTATATAATTTAGTTTTTACTAATTTTTTTCTTGAATATTTTTCTTACTTGCGGGTCCCTCTTTTTTTAACATGAAAATTTCTTCAGCGTTTACCCGTCTCGAACTTACTATGCGTGACTTTTCTTGAAATTTCTAAACAACATGTCAACTCTTTCTCTTTCTTTCTTCCGTACAAGTGTATTAAGGTATCAGTTATTTTCCATTTTTCACTGAAATATTTTGATTGTATAGTCTAAATCCTAATCATGAGACCTGAATGAATATTAAATTGTTACCTGCTTCTATATCGATTTCCACCAATATAAATAACTTGAGAATTTTTTTTATTTAGAAAAAATAATTTTTTTACATCCTTTTAATGATTTTTAATTTGGGAAAAAATTATTTAACCATTTAATACGTAATAACAGTTGTAACTATTTACTGAGTTTTTTGAGGCTTTTTAGATTAAAAAAATTTTAAAGACGATTCTACAGTTAAAAAAAATTCTTTCAAAAATTTTTTCGCACTAGAAAGTCTAAAAAAATACTCAGTTAATATTTTTATATGCACTCAATGTGATTAAAAAATGTTTAAGCATGTTGAAAATTGTTGGGATGATTAAATAAAAATTTTTTTTTTCTAATCTTTGAAAATCACGTAAAATCGAAATGCACATGGCAGCATATGTTAATTAAATTTTTATCCGGGTTCTATTATTAGAATTTGCGTTTTAGGCTATACAGTTTTATTACGAAAAAAAGATGTTGTCATATCTTGTTTCTGGATGTTACCGATATCGAAATAAAATTTAATACTCTTTTAATTTAATTTTCAATTAGTAGTAGCTCTGTGAAAACACCTACATAATATTTAGATATTATCTATAATCTTTACTTTCAAATTAAAAGTTTTATCAAAAATATTTATCGCAACTGAATTTTCTGATTAACTGTAGATCGATATCGAATTGTTAAACTCTGACTTATTAGATCGGGAGTTTTTTTACTAATGGCCATTCAATAAATCGAAAAAATGTGAAAATTAAAAAATGACTCAATTGTGAACTAAAATTTACGATTAGAGGATGAATCAAAATTAAAAATTAACGATATAAAAATGATGCTATGGATTGAAAAATTTTGAAAAGAAAAAAAATTTCGAATTCCAATATGAATTAAGAAGCCATTAGCTTTGAGATCAATTCTTGATAGCTCTGCTTTTATCTTAAGATTTTTTGTACTTTTATTATTTTTCATTCTGGCATTAATACGCTTTCTCAGTTACACTCGAGCATAACGAATCCTTTATGCAACAGATTTTTTTAGATTATTTTTTATGTATCTATTTTATTATATTATTATTAACATTTGGTAAAGGTGAAATAAAAAATATAACTAAGGATGGGTAAACATTTTATTTAAAATATCCCATTGGGAGCATAATTTTTGATGTTTAAAAAAAATTCATAAAAATATATAAGCAAAACGTTTATGCATTGCGAATAAAATAGTAAAAATAAGCGCATCAACTTCATCGTCTTTTTATTTAATACATAAATACTTTATTATACAATAATTAATACACATTTTAGAATAAGGCAAGAAAAGAAAAATACATTTGCCTTACTCGAAATAGAAACGAAATCTCCCATTATTTTATTACCTAGAGTGTTTATTCAATCTGGTAATCGTCATCACTTCTTGAACTCTAATAATGATAGTAACAGTGTAAAAGCAGTAATTATATATAATGCACAAGGTGTCACTTAATTTTCAGTAAGTACATACTTTGCATACATCTTTTTTTTTTATCATAAATGGTAAAACTTTTACAAAGAGGAAAAAGATATACTAACTCAAATCGACAAAACCACACAATCAAACTACTTTGGAGAGATGTGCAGTGTCAAAAGAAAATTATTGAAAAAAAATACTTCAAAATTGTGATACAATTTTAATAATATTTATCCTATTAAATCTCACAAAGATTTTTACAACATATTATCATTGAACTCAAGAATAAATTTTTCCTTAAGTACAAAGATTGAGATTCCAAAAATTTTGATTTAAATTTGCATATTGACTGTGTTATTTTACAATCTAAAGTTCCATGTATGTCTAATGATTTATAAATAAACATGTCTTATAAAAAACATTTAAAAAGTTATAAAGCAAACAGCAGATAGTGCACGTGCTAATAATGCTGCAAAAAATCGATCAGTAAACTTTACTGCAAACCCTTCCACAATAATCACGAGTTTTTGTTTAGTTCCTTGTTAAAAATCCATGGGCAGCTTCCTGGGTTGATTTTTCAAAATAAAACTTTTCATTATACATCAACAGTTTGAATCACTACGAATTTCAAAAAATTAATCATGTAAAACTCTATCAACCCCACAACTTTTTAAAAAAAATTCAATTTTTACAACCCTTAGGGACCACTAAAGTCAGTCCTGGAAGTTCATTCAAATGATCACAAATTTAAGAGCTACTTTGCAGCATGATTATTTTCAGAAATATTTCACGTCAATTATTGATAATATATGTAGTACTCAATCCCCAACGTTTGCTGCATGTAAAATTTTACTATCTCGTTCTCTACATTTTATTCAAAGGAAAACGTCATTGTTATCGCCGATGTGTGGGCTGACTAGAGTTGTTTTTTTTTCGATTTAAATTATTTTCCTTTAATCGTTTTTTTTCTCGACACATTGGGATGTGACACTCGTTCCGTTCGACATTTCTCCGTTTGCTGCAGCTGCTGCTGCCGCCGCCGCCGCTGCTGCTTGAGATGTCAGTCTATTTTTCGCCTGCTGACGTAATTGCGCCCGTTTTAGGCTGGTCATTAATTGACTTGATTGATACAACCAACTTGCCTGAAATATGATTGTAATCTTTAATCCTAAAACATTTACGACTTATTTTTATTTATTACTTGTCACTCAAAATACATACCACCATAATCATACAATTCATCAAAATTGGGACTGAAAAAACGATTGATATGAATAATCCCTTGGAGTCGAAATATTGTTGCCTGGAGAAGACCCTGGACAAAAAAATTAAACACAACAGTTAATAAAACGTAAACTACCGATAAAATTAATACATTTGTTTTCAAACTTACATCCAATTTGTGGCAGCTACTTCATTAATGGTCTCAGAAAAATAAACCAACAATACTAAAATCAAATAGATGGGAATGTAATTTATTGCTTGCACTACAATTTTTATTTTAAAAAAAAGTAATAATCATAGGTTCACTTACAAAGTACAAGGAATAATAAAATCTGAAAATTTGCATGGTTCCTGGTCATTACAGCTGTCATTGTCACAGCTACGTGAAATGTCAAGAGTAATACAAGCCATGGGTCTCTCCAATCGATCTGAAAATTAAAAAATACTCGTTTTTTTTTTTCAATCTGCTGGAGATACTGATACAATAAGTCTAAAATTAAAAGCATTCACAATTATGAAACTATGCCACTGCTACAAGGTTGACCATCCTTTTTAGCATCTGTAATCGATGATATCATCAAGTAATTATGACTATGATAAGCTGTTTAGTCTGCAGTGTTAATAATAGTTATCTATTAAAATTCAATAGTACACTCAAGTGTTTTCATTATAATGAAAGAAAAATTAAAAAAATTAAATTTACTCTTTTAAATTAAAAAATAATGTTGTTGAAACAATGGACACTGTATGTATGCAAGCGGCATGCACTTATGTAGATGCACACACCCATACAGAATTTAAAACGATAACTGTCGCTCATATAGTTGATGGACACACGCAATCACACCCACAAAAACTTGTTAGCCAATTATCATATAAAGAGCATTAATTTGCGATATAGATACAAATACCTAGACATACATATCAAATCTATATTTATCATCATTAAATTCAGCTTATCACCAAATTACGTCATGCAGCAGAAACTACCACTTACACGTACAACGAATGTAAATAATATACTGTATGAATAATCAATTACAAAATAATTGAACAAATTATTAGTACAGTCATTGCAAAGTGAAAATCATACACAATTGATATACTTTTAAGTATAGAAACAAAAAGACGCACAAACAACAAAAGTTGGCAGGTAAAGTGAGATCCACACATAAATAATGTAAACTGTTATGGTCTTAACCTAAAACAATCATCTTTCTTTAAGATCTTTTTTGGCCCAAAGTTCATAATATTATTACAACTACATCTAGTATACAAGTTTTTTCGATAACAATGATTTAAAAAATGAAGCTTACACTCTGGAGGAAGGGCCAGACACCATCGATGCTGACCCGTGGGTCTGCCACCAACATCCTTGCTTCAAAGCTGGAGTCCTTTGATACACTTATTATCTCCAATTATTGCTATTGTTATTTTACCTCCTTTTCTATCTAAATAAATATGTAGGTATGTATGTTGTGAGCTAGAAATCTACGTATACACAAATTATCTACCGCACACTTTAAATACACTACGGTATGAACAATTCTATGCACATATACGAAACATGCACACGAAAAGGCAGTCTTCTCTCTCCTCCCCCTCCTGCAAGTAAACTGCGGCTTCTTTTATTTGCACGTTTCTATACATGCGAAATTACTTTTTTTTTAAATGCAAACACACGGACACGGATTGACTTGACGGATCACCACGAATATATATACATATATATANAAGCATCAGCGACTTGGTAATCACAACAAGTCTTTGACTACCCATCGATGTACACTTGGCAACCCATTTGCGCCAGACTGCGGGCTCATCAAAGGGCGAGCATTTTAAAAACTTCAACAAAGCAAAAAGGTCGGTCTCTTTGTTTTGGATTGGGGTTCCAGTTAGAGCCCACCTGCTACGCGCGAGAATATGTGTGTGATGATGTATACGCACTGTTGTTATTTAATTATTTAATTAATCATCAGTCTAATCTGTATAACTCCAAAATTCGGTCCCTTTTGGAGTCTACCGAGGTTTTTTTTTGCAAACTTTACAGCCAGAGTCCAGTCAATCCAGATTCCAAAATACTTACTTGTCTCCAATCTCCAAGTGCTTTTATATTACAAAATCCAATCAATCCTGACGTTCTTACTAGCAAAAATGCAATGTAAGTACTTGATACGAAAAAAAAAAAAAAAAAAACACTACAAATATTCAACTTTACAGTCCACTTAATTTCGTCGGATCGTCTACTTGTAAATTGCAATTACTTAGCTCGTACGTGCTTGTAAATATAATAAATTAAAAATACAACGCGCTGGAAATAAATACAAGTACGGTTTTCATTATAATGAAAGAAAAATTAAAAAAATTAAATTTACTCTTTTAAATTAAAAAATAATGTTGTTGAAACAATGGACACTGTATGTATGCAAGCGGCATGCACTTATGTAGATGCACACACCCATACAGAATTTAAAACGATAACTGTCGCTCATATAGTTGATGGACACACGCAATCACACCCACAAAAACTTGTTAGCCAATTATCATATAAAGAGCATTAATTTGCGATATAGATACAAATACCTAGACATACATATCAAATCTATATTTATCANCACACCTATATATATATATATATATGTATTGTGCAAACGACATTGATAAGGGCGAAAGAATTATATTTCATTGATTAGGATCGAAGTAAGCAAGCGAGCTCTGGCAGCTCCGGGGTTTTTTTCTCTGATTAAAGATTACTGTATATGAATGGATCGTAGATAATATAGATCAACGATAGTCGATCGAAGCGATGAATAAGTAATGTGAAATGAATTTTTCTCACATGAAAAATTTTGCTGTCAACGTCCATGTTTATATTTTCCTCAAGCATTTGGATTTTCGCGCGCAATATCACGTGGGTTGGGACTTGTCTGCTTGTGTTTTTTTTTTAACGACACATATATACAGCAGCCTTTGAATTCTATTATTTATTTCATTAAAAATAATGTTCACATATTTAAGTGTTTTTAGTACTTGGCGAAATTATAGACATTTTTGTGTATTGCATAGTGGAAACTGAACGGATCATTTTCAAGAAATATTTTATGTGTTAAAAAAAGTTACAAATAAAAGGTAATCATAGTTTTAACGTTAACCTCTTTCATCAAACGTTATAAATGTTTAAATTCAAAATTACTTACCAGCAGTTGACATAAATTGTAAATATGAACTTGAAAATGCTATTATTACAAGTTTTATTTATTTGACAATGTGTTTACATTGAAGCTGCATACATACACATATTTCTGGAAAAATGGATAGTGAAGAAATAGTACAGTTCGAAACCTTGGATGATCATAATGAAACTGAACATTATGATCAGGATAACATTAATACGGAGTCTCATCTACCAGAAAGTGAGGATGATGCACTGACTTCCGAGGAAGTAATGAGGGAACTTGAAAACGCTTGGCTAAATGAGAAATTCGCTCCAGAACTTTTACCTCACCAGGGTGACCTTATACCATTGATGTTGCAGCAAATTTCTCACATGGAAAGTAATTTACAAAAGTAAGTACTAGTGTTTTATAATCTTTGTTCTTCAAACTTTAACAAACTTATGTTTATAGTGCTACAAAAGGAGATATGAGAATAAACATTCATACAATGGAAATCAGCAGAATTAGATTTATAATTTCGAGCTATCTGAGAAAGAGACTGGAAAAAATAGAGGAGTATGCCGCATTTTTACTAGAAGCAGATTCAAAGAGATCGCCAGAAGAAGCCTTTATGACACCTACTGAGTCACGCTTTGCTAAAGAATATGTGGAAAATGTTAAAAAGTTATTTTACACCTTGGCTTTACAACACATGCCTTCTAGGTTTCAGGACTTTGACGAGGCAAAAATGTCCTCCAAACCAAACATGAATAAACATGTGTTTGTGAGAGCCAACAAAAAGATAGAAGGTATAATGATTCCAGGCAGTATTAATGAGGATGAGGTTGATTTCGAGGAGGGATCCCAGCATATCATTAAATATAGTGCAGTTGCTGATTTAGTTAAAAGCGGTGCTGTGCAATTGATTTAGCAGTAATTTACCAACATAAGCATTACTTGCAAAAACTATTTTATTAAATAAGATAAACTGTACATTTATATATAAAAAAAAAAAAAAAAAAAGCAACAAAGTGCCTTACTGGAGGAATTTTCGATTTGTGTTAAATACGCAAATAAAACTTTGGTGTATTAATAGTTTTTCTCAATCATGAACGTAACTACCAGGAAAGTAAGCAGATAATTTTTTATTTTTTATAAGTTATGTAATAATTTCTACATCCTAAAAACTTAGATCTATTAGTTTAAATCTGTCTAAGTATTTTTCATAAGGTTAAATAAATCTTTTATGAATTGTCAATACCATTATTTTTTCACAATCAATGACTGATTTTACTCTGACAATTATCAAACTCTGAATTTTTTCAATTTACTTGCTCAGTTACCAATCGCGTATTTACGAACATCAATATTAAAAGATACAACCGAGTCATCCATCGGATAACAACTCTCAGGCATTGATAATCGATTCTCACTAATTAATATGTACACTCAAGCTTGTAAAAAAAAAAAAAAAATGTATTTATCAACACTTGTCCACAGTTGCACATTCCTTATCATACAAGCAAACAAACATAAAATAAATAAAAATGAAATAAACATCAGCACAACAACGAACAAAATACGGTAAAGTTCTCCCTACACACACGTACGTCCATCAGCCAGACTGATGGAGCTGTTATCCTCGCAGAGGCAAATTTTCTTGAGCTGATCGGTTATCTGAATCTCGTTGGGCCCGCTCGTCACGTACCGCGGCACCCTCAGACAAAACTGCTGACAATGGCCGTTTTTAACAGCGCAGGGATTGTCCGGATCGACGCGCTGCACAGCCTCGGCGTACACCTTAACTCCAGCCACCACCTCCTCGCCACCGAACCTCGGCACCAACTGCACGAGCCCGTGACCGGTGCGCTTGTCCAGTCTCCAGATGCCCGTCGAATTCGACACGTAGACGTACCGCCCGTACACTGCCACGGAACGCGGCTCGATGATCCCCGACACATCGACGCTCCGAGGCTGCAACGACCGCTCGTCCGCGCGGTTATCGTCAACTAACCCGACACTGAGCAAACGCTTGAGATCGGCGCTGAACCAGACCAGCCTACCCTCCACAGCGTCGAGAGCCAAGCCGGTCTCGTTGACGCTCCAGTCCCCGGAAAACAATGTCTTCTTGAGGTCATGGGCCTTGTAAATCCTCGCGACGCCGTTCAGCTCGATCGTAAAAAAGTACGCGCCCGTGTTGGGATCCAGCACCAGCGATCTCGGCCTGCCGTTCGTGTGGACGAAGGTCTGGAGGCTCTTGGCGTAATAGCGCTCCTCGTTAAGCTTGATCAGGCCGATCGTCGTATCCTCCTTGGTCCGGCAGTTGTCCTGCACGTAGTACAAGTCGCTCGTCGTCGCCCAGTCGAAGGAGACGTCCCTGAGACACTTGTGCCGAGCGTAAACCCCCTGGGGCTCGTCCTTCGCCAGACTCGCCGTCACGATGGACACGTCGTCGCTGTAGGCCACGACTTTCGTGTGGTAGTTGTAGTCAAAGTCGATCGCGGGCTTGTTCAGCAAAACGATCCCGGGCTTGATCGGTATGGGGACGATGGAGTCGGTGAAGCTGCTACTCGACTGCCGTGCCTCGTCGTCCCGCAGTATCCGGCCTCGGATCAAGTCGCCGCGCGCGTACAGCAGGTACTCCTCGACCAGCTCGCAGCTCTTGGAATCCACGGCGAGCTTGTAGCCGAGGTAGCAGGCGCAACTGTATCGAGTAGTGGCCGAGCCCCCGGTCAGGAGGCAAAGCTGCTGGCAGCCACCGTTGGCCGGCGCGCAGGGATTGTCGTGGCTGTTCTCATCCTCGCCGGTATGAACCTTGAGCATCTTGGGGTAGTCGAAGGGCAGCTGCATGAGATCCTCCTCGTGGCAGACGCCGTCGGACCGGGTGACGCAGGTCCACAGATTCCTATGGGACGAGGCGTCGGGTGGCCGAGACCAGAACCTATACGTAAAACAAACACACCGTTTGAGCAAAGAAGAGAAAAAACGTCCGAGAAACATCGGTATGGAGTGGAAAATAACAGTCGGTTCCCAGAAACGCCGAGACTGGTGACACCCGAGGTGCAGTAGACGACGCGCCGGTCGCTGCCAAAGTAATCCGAGCTGGTGATCTTGTCGGCGTCCGCCCAGTAGAGTCGCGGCGGGCTCTGCCGGTCCAGGCTGATGACGCTGACGCTACGACTTGTCACGAGCTCTTTCAACATAGTGCCATCCATGTTGCCCTTGAGGATCTGTAACGAAGAACATGTTTTTTTTTTTTTTTTTTATGCTTGTATAAATACAATTGGGTACAAGTATCCTATAAGTCACCGAGTAAGATTTCTGAACGATGAACATGAGTCCGCGAGCCGGATCCAAGGCGATGTCGGCCGGCTGCTTGAGGTCCGCGACGGCGATGCCAAACAGCCCAGTGACAGGATCGTAGACGTCGAGTTTGCGGCCACGGGCGTCCAGGGCGTAGATTTTGCCGGAGTTGACAAAGTCGACGGCCACGGCGACGGGTCGCCATCCCCGGAGCTGCGTGAGGTTCTTGTACTTGGGCGAGAGGGAGTTGAGCCCGGGGGAGTTGGCCGCGCTCCAGTAGAGCGTCCTCTTGCCGTAAAAGTCAAAGGCGAGCACTCCCGGTTGGGTCTTGAGTAGGAGCCGTGGTGGCCGCTGGCTCTCGAGGTCGAGGGCGTACAGGTCGTGGTCGTCCGACACTATTAGCGCCTTTGAGTAGTCGATCGGCTCGCCGGTCGTACCTACTTATTAGCCGATTGTTAATTCATACGTTTTGCTTTTGCTATCGATATAATAATAATTTTTTTATTACTATCGTGACGGATAAATAATGAAATATAAAATCGAGATCGGTAAGGTGCATGATGTTACAGCATGCACGATGAGCCGAAATCGGCACAATTGGATTCGATCGTTCGTGAACGACATCGAGAGGTCTGTTAACAATAAAAATAAAATAAAATCAAACGATTGAAATAATAATGGTAATAATTGAGAAAAATTCAAATTGATTAGTGTCCCTCGAGCAGTTGTACACGTATATTTAATCAGGTGTATCGGACTGCACCGCGCGATTAAATAAGTCACGTACATATATATATAAAATAGATGGGTACAGATGAATGAAACTCACCCGAAAGCAGATAGATAAGCGCGACGGCGATGACGAGAGAAACTCCTAGGGCACCAGCAACAATCCACGCGGGTTTCGCGAGTATCCTTTTCATCCTGTCCGAGAGAGGCTCGTACTCGATGTCGCGCCTGTTTCCGGACATCCTCGACGGGGTTTCATAAATAACTCGAGTCGAAAGAAAACGCTGCAAAGGAGTCGAGAGGAAAAATCTCCGGCAGCTTACAGCGGAGGTACTCTCTTGTATACGAATACTGATGTAGAGCAGAGAGAGGCTTGTCGCCTCGGCACTGATAAGACGCGCGTATACGATGACTAAGTATCTAACAGTACAAACACAATTCACGACAGGTGTGTGAAGTGTAGACGTTACGTGCACGCGGTGCTGACGAAATTTTCGTTCTTCGCTTCTGACGGCGGTGCCCTTATTGGGGTCAACTCGACACTCCGATTCTGTAAATAATCAACTCGGATTGACTATCGTGTTACATCATTTTTAAATACTTACTGATCGTAATGTAAGGTATGGTTTTCGTTTTATTTGTACACCAAAATTTTTTTTTTTATCAGAGTAAGTATGTTTATGATGCTCATCATCGAAAAACGTAATTTTTAACGAGTAAAATCGGCTCGAGTGGACGAGAATTTGAGTTTCAAACACTTTTCATCTGCGATTTTCAAATAATTTGATACATATCTGAATTGTCATTAAACCATGGCCATTGAGAATGAAACTTTGAATTTGTCCGCTTCAACCGAGGGGCATGTTTGTGGAGGGGAATCCCTTGTTTAATAGGTTGAGTATTCCTAGAATTAACTCGGGGGAAAAAAATACAAGTTTTCTTAAAAAATGGATACTTTTTTTTTTTTTTATTGCTTTGATACTGATAAATGGACAAATAGTGTTTTATTTCAATACCAATCTTCTTAAGTCTCATTTGCATTTACTGAATCTTAAAACGTGTAACTAACAGAAATTTTACCAACGCAATGACTAACACAGCTTGAAACATTTTAGTTTAATGATAAACACGAAATTATAAATAAAAAAAACGTGTGTATTACATGCATTTGTATGACGAATACAAAATACGAAACGACTTTTTAAGTAATAATTAATACTTATACATATAACAAACACACCGTTT